TTTCTACTGCCACCTACCAATTCGTTAGATGCAATTCTGCGCTTTACCTTGTTTGGGCCTTGATAGATACAGTTGGTGGAATTTTCAGGGCAGCCTCCGTTGTTGTTAACACAGGGATTAATGGGCTGGCATATCTTTCCATCTCCTTGATATCCATCTTTGCAAGTGCAGTCGTATTTCCCTGGCTGTAGAGTCTTACAGACCGCTAAGGGGGAGCACGGCGATGAAGCACAAAGGTCCTGAGCTACAAGAAGACACAGAGATGAGAGAGGGGAGCATAACTAAGTCCCAGATTACGAACCAGCGCCAGAAACATTCTAATGCACAAAGAATGGGGGACGTGGAATTTATGCCATTAAACCGGGAAACTTTTCCACACTTTTAGAGACTTTTTGACTGAGGGATTTGGAGAAGTGCTCACAAACGCTGGGGGCATTTGAAAATATGGTCCATGAAGATCACCAAAAGTGCCAGGTGTTTGAATCTATCCACCTCTCATTTATGTTTAATTCGTAGTGTCTTTTAGTCCTATGAAAAAGCCATTTGCAAGCGTAAAACAAAAGTGAAAGGAGAAGGAAAGACCGCTATCAATTCATGATACACGGCCACCTCCAGGATGGCAAGGAGCTGCCACTGAAGTTTCATGGTTTTACATATCATGTAAAAGAGTGTTTCTCAACCAGTGGTACGGGTACCTTTAGGGGTATTCGAGAGAAGTCGGGGGGGTACGTCAACACAATTTGGAGAAAACTATATTTTTGTTGTAAGTTTTACACTTTATTATTTTTGTACTTTTTGTACCCAAAAATGTCATTGCCTGCCTGCTACAATCAAGTTGTTTAAACAAATGTGTTGCAATGATAGAAAAAAAATTGTATGTGTCTGAAAACTGTAGGTACTGAGGGGACTTATAATTTTTTGTAAAGGGGGTACTTTATAAAAGAAATGGTTGAGAAACACTGATCTAAAACAAGGTCTCCCAGAAGCACAATCCCCTTGCTTCAGTTTAGCGCACGAGCCTAGCACAGAGAGAAAAAAGTGCCGTTATGGCCCAGGTTACAGGGAGTTCCTAAACATTCAGTCATTGAGGACATCTCCGTATGCACCCTTAGTTCATGGCACGCTGGGGGGTAAACCTGCCTCGCGCCAGCCAGTCGTGTACTGACTGTCCATGGGGCACACGACTGTATCCAAGTGGTAGCATGCCTCAGGTGGCAGAGGTAGATTGACCGCCGAGCTTACCCCAGGGACTCCACCACGAGGTACGTGAGTAAATGCGTGATTTCGCCGGGAGATCCCTTACAATCATTCCTGGGGAACTCATGAACCCCCCAGAAAGCTGTCCCCG